CTCGGGTGATGTCCTACAAGTTTATAACCCTTGCAACCGTGTTCACACTGTTGATACAAATTTTCAACGCCTCAAATTTTTTGTCGCAGGACTTATTTGCCAACCTAATATTTGAGTCGAATGCGGGACGCAACTTCGTAAACATAGAAACAATCAGAGCGAGTGCTCGGGGATAGGAGCCATCTAATTCGAACATGATAGGTAGCATTTCACAAAGCTCCAAATCGTTTTCAGTTCTCTGAGGACGACCAACGTGTGGAACGTCAAGCGCAATAAACACCCCATTACAAAAACTTGTTCGGCACAGAACCACTGGATAACTATCCGAAAGGATGATTTAATCAACCGATTAAAGGCGAATTCATCCGAAATCGCACTAGAAAGCTCTAGAAAAGACGATCTGGAACCAGCATGCAGTAAGCGGATCCACACTTCTGAATTAGTTCACGACAGTTGTTCCCTAGTCAAAGGCACAGCTCACGACAAATGTTAGGTACGACAATGTTAGGTATGTTAGGTACGATGGAGAATAAAGCGAGAAACCCGACGATTCTGCAAAAAAAGGTTTCCAAAGTGTAGTAAAAATAGAGGTTGTACGAGATTACCATGACGGAAACAGCATGGAAGGGGTATTCGGACGAGATTTCTTTTGCTGCGATTGCGTGGAGATCTAACCATATCAAGCCAAAAATGCCCAAAGCTGCCTTCCACTCTCGCCATGGGCGCGACTAGTTGTTTGCAGTTCCAAGGTGGGTGGTCCTTGTGGATGGTGCAGCCTATACAAGGCCTGTAAAACTCGTCCGCTTCGGGTACGGCATACAGTCAGTGCAATTTTTGAGTCATTATAACGCAATATCTAGGACGTTTTCCTACCTGATAGCGCCACATATGGTATAGGGGTGGCTACAGATTTATCATAGGGGATATCTCCGGAACTATTTTCGTCGTGAACTGCGCCTATAGGTTCCAAGGGTTAGACCGTAGGAGGAGTTACCCCATTAATCGAACGCTTGCGAATCAGCAAAACCAACACAAGTATCTTCCATCCGTTTATGAGAATATTGAAAATTTTCGTCAAAATTTACGATCCTAACTGTTTTCCAGAGGTGTACACTTCAGCTTTCCCAATCATTTGATATTCGATTATCCCTTTATTCCATCAATCAGAAATGTTAAGGACCATTCTGGGTTAAAGAATAAAGAAACTGGATAAACAGCAAAAAGAATATCGTGGGAAGGTCTATAAATCACTTTTTTTTCTTCGTCAGTGAAGCTCCAACAATCTAGAGAAAGTGAAGTTCGGCCTCATTTATTATATTCATGCCTATCGTTTCAATTTTTTTCTTAATTTCCATATATACAATTCTTAGCCTTTTATTTTTATATTCTGATCATTTCCGTGGTTAACTGGTAGAGCGAACGAATAAAGAATTTCACAAGAAAAATACCTCGAAGTTCCGGCAGACATCTTTGGGACCTTTTTGCTTCGAATCTCACCCAATATGCGGTCGACCCTCTTCACGTGCTTCTTTTCCTTTTTGGATGCCGGTTCCGATACAGAAGGCGACGCATCGACTTCATCTGCTGAAAGTGCCTGATCACCACTTTGAGTGAATTTCCAAAAAGGATAGGTGTAATCTGTGTTTGAGCTTGTTAGTAATCAGAAAGACACTGGGCGAACTTTGTGAAGCCTCTTAACATTCTTAATCACCTAAGATTTGTCCAATCCAAAAAAATATAACAGCACAAGAAAAGAATTGAGTGAAAGCGAAGCCGCTCCCAGACTCGTCGCTATGAAAGAATAGAAGGCAACTGAGAAGACTACTCATGAGATTTCCTCGCTTGAATCAGTTTTATAAGAAAACTGTGACCGGCGCCGTTATCGCTCCTTTCCACTCCTGGTGTTATCGCTCTAAGGATTATACAGAATCCACCAAAGAGCCGCGCGGCAGGCCGAGATGAAAAAATAACAATTCTAGCGTTTTATCAAATGAATTAAAATGATAAAAGGCATTTCCGATGTTTCCACGAAGGCAGAACGATCGTTGTAAACTAAAAAAGATTAAATAATTGTGAGCTTGTTTCCCATCGACAAAGTGGACGAGATTTTGAAAGCAGCAAATCTTCAACGACTTTTACAAGAATATGGAAGACGTTACACTCTACTTATCATCTTCTACGTTCGAAACCCCTAGCGACTGCGGATTCATGTGGATGTCCTGCAAGCAACACATTGTATGGGGGTAATCTGTAAACGTGGAACTTTGTCTTCATTATGGTTTCAAACTCCATGAAAAAGTCTGACGGGGGACGGCCGTCGGGCCGAAGCGGTTACCCACTGAGACCTCAGCAACATCAGACGTCTCCGGCCGATAGGTCAGGCTTTTCCGAAAGGTCTGTATCATACGAATAAGGTCTGATGTTCTTCCAGCGACAAACATCCTCCCTTATGCTGGCCCTAATCGAGTCGAGAAAGCCCCTGGGAGATTAATGACCAGAATGACCGAAGATTGATGATATGCGGTACTGTACAAGTTTAAAATAAAGCTCAGCGATGTTCAGTGAAGGGCCCCTGGAATTTCCAAAAACGTCCCTAGAAACAGTGGAAAACATCTAATCCTTCACTGAAGTTTTTGTTTTCTAGCCCTAACCTGTAACAGTGGGCATTGTGACATCGAAGGTGACCGAAACCACTTGAATCCGGATAAACTTGGCACATTAAATCTATTCTATGAGATCACTGTCATTAGGATCACGTCCTTGCCCCCCTATAAAAGTGCTCAGTGAGGCTACAGCAACGACATCCCTCGGATATGAATGCGAAGTTTTCCATTCTCCTCGCATCCGGCGTTTCATTTTCAGTCATATTAATCAGTTTCATATGTGTCGGCGTCATTTTGCAAGATATAAACAGCCTCTACGATGATGTCATGGATGACATGCAGGAGTTCACAGTAAGTTTGTTTTTCTGAAAATCGCAAAAAAATGGAATAAATCTAGGCCCAATTAAAATGATTTTAGAATGATATTATACAAATTTTAGGCGATTGCTAATGCAGCCTGGGAAGAAATCATGATCCAAACTGCACCAGTTGGACCAAATGAAGCCAGTACAACACTAAATCGTGACAAGCGTTCCGCTGATCATTGTAATTGTGGCGGGCAACCTAACGATTGCCCGCTAGGACCTCCAGGTCCTCCCGGAGAGCCGGGAAGAGCAGGTGAAACCGGATTCGATGGTGAACCAGGTCGTAATGGTGTTCCAGGAATAGAAACAGTCGGTCTTCGAATAATTACGGGATGCATCAAATGTCCAATTGGAGCGCCAGGACCTGCAGGGCTTGCAGGACCTCAAGGACCTAGTGGACCGGATGGGCAACCAGGAGCACCAGGAGCTCCTGGAAATGATGGACAACCAGGAGCACAAGGACCTGTGGGAGAAGCTGGGGAGCGAGGGGAGCCTGGAGCAACAGGCCCCCCTGGAGAAAACGGAGATAATGTACAGGAAGGAAANCCCCTGGGCCACCAGGACGTCCTGGTCCGAATGGTGAACCAGGAATAGATGGACACAGCGGTCTTCAAGGAGTTCCTGGGCGTGCAGGGCTTGATGGAGAACCTGGAGCTCCCGGACAGCCGGGAGAGCCTGGAGAATCAGGAATGCCAGGCAACGATGGAACTTATTGCTCATGCCCACGTCGTATGGATAAGGTCGCGGCCAGTTTTCAATCTCAGGATTACAGTCGTCAGATGACGGAAACTGAACAAATGACGCAGGACGGTCTAGCGGATTTGCAGAAACAATCAGTGGTTTTTACATGAATAAATGCTTCGTCGCTTTGAACTGAGAGAAATGCAGCATTGAAAATAAAAAAGATCCAAAACAACAAACCGAATTAGAGACTTTTAAGGCAAGACTATGAAGGTAGAAGCCTTTCTTACATTTCGAAACGCTTATCAACCCAAGTCGCTTTCTATATGATCCCTGAACGGAACTAGGAACCATTCTCTCAACGTGATTATGCCCACCACCCCTATCCGGTCTCAGCGAGAGTGCATAGGGCTGTCTGTCTGCATAGGGCGGATTCACAGACATGTGATAAGAAATCTATCGTTGTCACACTTTTTATTAGCATCAAAAATACAACTGAAGAGGTTCAACATTGAATCCGCAGAAAATTGGGTCTCGAAATTAAAATTTTGGTCTCACGGTGACATTCGCTGAAAATGCTGTGAAACAAATAGTTCAGTGAGAATTTCTATCTGAATTAGTCTTCAACTTGATATCTTTGTTATCTGCTGTTATTTCGCCAGCAGAACGCGATACGAAAGTCTCAACCCAAGTCTGGGAGGGCTGATAAGCTGGCATGATAGTTGGTAAGGGGTGGCGAGTGGAGTCTCGGTAGTGTAAACAAAGCACGGAGCACGATGCTCGGATAGCACAAATACGGGTTCGACGGCGAAGCTTTTTTCCATAACTTGTAAGATTCAAATGAGTTTTTGGCTAATGACCAACTTCCAAGCCTACATGATGTGACAACGCCAACTTCCACTGAGCAACTTCAAAAAACATTCATGCTAGGCCTAGAAGAGACTCTTTTAAGCATATACCTAAAACGCTACATCTGGGCTCTCTTGCCACACGCCCTCTTTCTTTTCACCACTGTACCGGTTCAGAGTTAAGCATGGCATTTACGAATACGAAACGAATAATGATACTGAGATTTCTACGATGAAAGGAAATCATGGAACGTCATGAGACCCAGTTTAAAGCTCCATCAGGAATCGTAGAACAGTGAAAAACTGTGAGGGACGCCACGAGGGTAATAAAATCAAAACTAATTGTTTTGTGAGTTTGAACAAATAGAACTGGTTTTGATAACCAATTCCGCATTCCCATGTTCCCACGATCGATATCTTTCTAGTACCTACAACAGATTCCATAATTCCATGACTATTTAACATGAACAATACCCAGTAAGGACTTTCGGCACTATAAACCTGCTGCAGCTGACAGTGAGGGTGTTCATACTTTTTAGAGGGTGTTGTTTTTTCAAAAAACATATGTAAGCTTCGCTAAAAACAGAACGAATGCCTAACAAAGTTGCTATGAAAAGCGGTGTTATGATGCGCAGGAGAAAGCCAACTAGTTATTCTAGTCACCGCCTTTTATGTAAGTCAAAGTCAGATGTATGATCTGCATGCTCAACTCGACCAGAAGACAGGATACATCGCGTATCGAGAGAAAAGAAGTCTCTACGCTCAATCTCCGATTCGCTTTTCAAACTTTTGCTTTTGTATCTGGATTGCTTGAAGATTATGTTCTTTGCGTCAATTCGTCACCGCATGCGCAAAATGATAGGTTCCGCCGAGATCCGCACCTCTTGAAAAAACGCTCAACGGATGTTTCAAATGACATTTCACGCCCATATCTCGATGAATTTAAAGAGAACGATATCGCCCTGACAGCAGCTCGTCAACGATGAACACTCGATTCTTCGTAGCAGCAGCTTCCGCAGCTTCTGCTGCTGTCATCTTTGTTTGCCTTATTCTAGTTGTAATACTTCTCCAAGACATTAACACTTTCTACGATGACGTCATGGACGAAATCCGGGATTTCAAGGTGAGTATCCTCGCTGTGTTTCAGCTAAAGTAAATGAGATAGAAGGTTGCTGCATAGACAGAAACGAAAATTCAGTACGGGCACTCGGCTCTTACAGTAACCCGACACGGCATACCACCTTTTAATACGCAAGTTCTCACCGGTCACATATACGACGAGACGAAAAGGGGCCTTTGGGCAAGGACTCGGGGAAAGGGCGGGGGATGAGGGGTAAGCTAGGGGCTTGCTGTAAGAGCCGAGTACAGAGCGTACTAAATTTTCGTTTCTGTGTTGCAGAAAGCGTCGCAAAGGTACAGTCCACGATAATTTTGTGGGACCCCGTTTTCAACGGTCAGTGAAAGTAACTGTCCAGTACAGAACAGTGCAAGGGTAACGAAGACAACGTAAAAAAAAAGGCGTAATTAAAGAGATATAAGGCTTAAAAAAGCTGAAATTAGGGGATGGACCAGAATAAGACCACGAAAGTTGTGTGGATAGGTATTTGTTGCCATTGTCAGCCAACGGTAGGAAGCCGAAAAACACGAAATTGTTTTCCAACCACCTGACAACCTGGGTTAGGTGATTCTATAGTGCACTACTCTCTCATTTACTGCATCTAACAGAGCAGGTATTCAGAACAATATTACTCACGAGGAGCAGCAGTGGAATGAGAGAATAATCTGAAACATAATAACTTACGCTACGACGACCAACTTATTGATTTCTCATCAAAGTTGCTCCATTGCGAACACTGGCACCAGGCAATTAGTTTCATAGCCAGCCCAAAGGGGGTGTGGCATTAACAAGATACAATCTCTGCCCACTTACTGTGCTCTAGCCAGGACGCTTTTCTGCCTCATAAGCGCAGTTATGGTACAAGAGGGGGGATGGGGGAGGGGCATTTGAGAATAGAAATCAATTTTACCTAAAACAAAAAAAGAAGTTCTGATACTCTTTCCTGAACTCGAAACCAACATTTGTGTCATCCCCGTTAATCTCGATAGTTTAACCCTCCTCCTGCAACCAAATGATAAAAAAATTATCGACTTCGATTGAATCCTTGAGCTGCATACGCATCAGGTTCCTTCTCAAGACTCTGAAAGCACCTTAAAGGCACAGTTAACGATAATTTTGGCTAATCCATATTATGATGAAAAATGAAAGACAAGATCGAAAATAGTACAATGATTGTGAAGAAACTGCGTAAATCGGCGACCAGCTGATTGTATGTGGGTCCTAGAACGAATAGTTGCAATCTGTACTGTCTCGACACTCGTCTGACGTGATGACGTGACATTGATCGACAGGCGGGGAAGCCATTGACGTTCCCATTGAATTATCCTGAACTGTGCCTTTGAAGGTACCCACTATGTAACTGTCTGTAATTGTCCGTGTGGAGCATCGGATCGAATCATTCGTCTATCTATCACCCTAGATGAAACCGAGCTCCAATAACCCAGTCGGGAGAGGTGGAAGATTTGATTTAGCCGTTTTTCATTTTCAAAAACACATGTTCCGTGAATGTAGTGGAAGTTACAAGTATATTTGAGGAAGTATTTGCTAAGAATTCATTATTTCAGACTATCGCCGATGGGGCTTGGAAAGACATGATCGTCACTCCACAATCCAGCACTGCATCACAAGGACAACATCCCCTTATCTTCGGTAGAACGAAGAGGTCGAAGGCAGTTTGTGCGTGTGATGCGGTAGAAAGCACGTGTCCGCCAGGTCCTCAAGGAGAACAAGGACTACCAGGACAAGCTGGTGAGCCGGGAATACCGGGCGAACATGGACTTCCTGGAATACCTGGAATAGGGGTTATTGATTCGCAAGGTGCAGCTGGCTGTATCCCATGTCCACCTGGACCCCACGGACCACCCGGAAAAAAAGGTCCAAAAGGGCCACCTGGTCCTGACGGACAACCTGGAAGGCAAGGAATGGTTGGCGGTGATGGACATCCAGGGCCTGCAGGACCACCGGGAGATGCAGGTATTCCAGGAACGCCAGGAATCCCTGGGCAACGCGGTACCGCTGGAAGGAACAGGAAACAAGGTCGCGGAAAACGAGGACCTCCTGGTCTACCCGGTTCCAGAGGCGCGTCCGGCTCTCCTGGAGCCAATGGTGAAGAAGGTGCACCAGGCAAGCCTGGTCCACAAGGTATACCGGGTGCTGCCGGTAAGAATGGCACAGCTGCTAGTGCAGGTGAGCCTGGTCCCGCAGGGGGTCCAGGCATACCGGGTGCTGATGCAGCTTATTGCCCATGTCCACTGCGTGCCACTCAAATCAAGGCTGCAACGGAACCACCAGATTACTACTTACGATCTGCATAAATTTTAGGACGCTGTAGGATGAAAGTTGTTGATTAGAAAATTGAAGAGGTAAAATAAAGTAATGAGTACTTGCAATACATGTTTTTGGCCAATAGACAAAATTTAGTCGGATTTCAAGCAAAAGAACAAAAATTAGGAGTACATTCATAAACAAAAAGAACGACACAACGAATATATGAATTGAAATATTACTCGATCATGGAGCCTTAGTACCTACACTCTTTCCTTACATCGGCGGGACTGGAAGTGATAATGCCCAATTAGCACACAGTGACGAGTGATATTTTTGATCATACTGCAAATGTGAAATTTAATAGCACCAGTTGAGCTCCGCACTCTACCGCGCGTGTCACAACCTAGAAGGCGTCAAAGAGAGGTGGTTTTTTCAAAGCTCCACACACCCCCACCCCTCGAGAACCTGGCAGTAAGCTGTGGTGGGTTGTGGGTTATGAGTTTTTGCAAATAGTTCAAGAACGCTCCGCCAACCGCGGCCCCTTTGCCCATTTTTCCCATTTTTCTCTGTGTGCGGGCTTCTTGGAGCAAAGTTAAAAGCAAATTAAAACCCTGGGTTCCACCCTCGAGTTCCTTTGAGCTCTTACGTGCTCTGTTGATCTTGTCCGAAGTCCTACCTAAAGTTGACTCCACTTCTTCAGGTAATACCGAATTTCGGAGCAGACAGACAGAAAGCACAATTTTTACACACAGTAGGTGGTGATGACGATTCCATATCTAGAGCGTTTCTGGGAACATTAAGGACGTCTTTGTACAGAGTAAACTTTTAGAATTAACTTCTCCTTCCCCCCCCCCCCCCCCACCTTCCGGCGACCAACCACTTTTCTTCCTTTTCTTTCTCTTATTTCTTTATTTCTAGCCAGTTTTTTCTGCGTTCTAAAACGTTTCTGAACAAAGTTATGAAATTCCACCTTAGCCCCGCCCACCTTAGTGCGAACCGCGCTCTCTTCAGAGATTCGACCACATTCCTTCTAATACCTTCAATCACTTTTTTCTCGCCTTCTCGTTTTCGAGCGGTATGTGAATTGCTGATTTTGGCCCCGCCCATTCGGTGCAAACTCCGGACGCCCGAGATTTTGGCCACACCTCCTCGAAAAGCACTTTTTACCCGCTTTTTGGAACTTTTCAAGCGAATATACATGTTTTTTGTTTTTTTCAAGCGGATATACATGTTTCCGAAATGTAGTTTCCGTTTGACCGCACTTCACTATGAACGTCGATAGTGACCGGAGCTTCACCAAGTTTATGCATGCCTAGCACGCATAAGGCCTTGCCCACTCCGCTTATTTTTTCCGAAACATCCCCATTAATCCCAGCATCTAGAACGAATGTGGGAAGTATATCCATACATTCATATCTCGAGAGTCAATGGTCCAAGCGTGCAGTTCCTCAAACTATGAACGTAAATCTTTTTCCTCCATTTAAGTTGTTTGAGCATTCGAAGTGTTAGAAAATCATCAGAAACAGCTTTCCCTCTAAACCAAGTGAAAAGATTATTGCACTTTGAGTCATTCACAGAGGTCTAACTTCCTTAGCATCTCAATCTATGTGCGACGTATTCTTGCTACTAAAGCCCAAAGCACATCCGTTATTGGATCTGCTTACGGAACTATCTTCACTATCCTTGGACGATGTTGAAAAGGACGAGCACGATCGACAGTGTCTAGGAGGCCGCGGCTAGACCACTCGCAAAGATATGTACCGAAAGGTATGCCACAGAGATTCTTGACGTTCTTAACATCGAGACGCATCCAAGAATTTTTGCAAACGGGTGAGTAGGTGAAAAGCTCAGACTAATATAACGTATCTTCACTTTGACCTGAAAGCACTACTAGGTGCGCCTCTTTCAGCTTACGGTAGATCTTCGATATTTGAATTTCGGTATATTCATTTGCTTCAAAAGTTTCCGGAATCCTTCAAACACTCCACTGCTGAACTCACAGAAAGGGCATAATTGGCAATACTTTTCCAGATCTTATTGAACTGTCTGTGGTCATCACGGTGTCTCACAATGTCAGCTTTCAACAGTGTTTTAAACAACGTACTGAGTTAGTTGAATCAATTAGTCAAGAAATTCAATTTATCGCAACATGTTTGCTGCTCCAAACATGAACAAGTAGGGATCCTACCAAAATACGGCACCCATTCCTATCAGCAAATACTGCAAAACAACAAAAATCGCAGAAACGAACTTACGTTTCGCTTGATTCTTCCTGAGGTCTCGCAATAGGCATCGTTTCTTCTGATGATATAGCAGATCTTTTTGAAGGGCAAACAAGGCTCCACATCTACACTTAATCGACTTCTCCGTGTGTACCTACGAAGACATTTTTTTTTNTTTTTTTTTATTGAAGAGAAAATCAACGCAAATAATTTCAGCTGCTCCAAAAGCGTAATGTGAGGCACTATAGCTTTTTTATCCCTCGGCGCTCTTCATTGATCCGCAGAGCTCGAGCATTTTTGAAAATCATGGCAATAGGCCAGCTCTGTTAAAAAATCCAACGAATGTGGGTTAGCAATAGGACTAAAGTGCTGTTGCTTTTTTCAAAAATTTTCAAGGAATGTTACCGAAGTGGGATGGCTATCTTGGAATGGAGAAGGAGATTCACTATTAAAAGAACCTTATTGGCAATACCTACACGTATGTAGTGCTGCTTCAGATTTCTCATTCCTTCGAATCGTAAATCTCGCTTTCGACAACCTTCCGCAGGGCAGTGATATATGTATGTCCGAGCTGAAATAATACATCTCGCTAGAAAAAGAGGAAGAACATTTCCCACTATCTTCTTGTTCCCAAAAAGAACCTTATCATTGAGAACTTCATACTCATCAACTATCTCAGCGAAAGCGCTTTTCATGGCACTTTTCGCAACAGCTGTGTCCGTTCTGAGAGTCTAGGCATTGTCGACTGACAATGAGCAGAAACTCGCTAGAGAAACTTTTTTAAGCTGTAAGCTTGGTTTTCCACAAGTCATGCTAATTTCATCCATGCAGCCTGACATCATTGGTTCTCAAACCGATGAGGATAAAAAGTTGTATCAATTATACTACTTATCTTCCCGTCTACTACTTTATAATGATAAGGAAAAAACGTCAAAACTTCTGACATATTTCCTTTCCTTCTTTAAGCTCGTTTCTTCAAGTGAGCGTTTTTCGAAGCGCATGAGCTCAAGCCGTTACCCTTTTCGTTGTTTTATAGACTTGACAGCAGCAGTGTGGATCGTCGTCGCAAAACATCCGAATGGGCATCATTGACTGTGCAATTCACATTCCGAGCAATGAATTTATTACAAACTACCCAATTCGTCTCTTGCACAAGTTTTCTAGTTTTCAAGATAATGAACCCAGCACTTCTGTAGTCAGAAATCAAATTTGACCAAGTTATCGAGGCATTCGTTATCCTCTATCTGATCAGCGCTTTCTCATTCTCTCTCTGCCATTCCGTTTTCTACCTGTATGATGCGACAATACCGCGGAAGCGTTGAGATGGCACTACCTTAAGAATTATCGAAACAGAAGTAATGAGTTTATTATCCCAACAAGGTAATCCAATAGGTCTACCCATCACCACGACAACAAATAACTCACAGAGAAGTTCTACGCAATGCATATAACGCCCCTTTAAAATCAGCTGTTGCGAATTATTGTAACTGCTAAATTTCATATAATAATATTGGAATTTTGTTTGCTGCACATACCGAGTCCATCGCTGGTTCTCTCGTAGATCCTCTTATCACCCTCGCAAGACAACACACCATGCGTTTTCACCACATGAAGACGTCGTGCTGATGTGTTCGAAAAGCTACAACAATGAGTTCTCAGACAATACACTTCGAATTTTCCATTCCCAAGAGCTGTGTTGCAATTAAGTAGCCAACACTGCATCGACGATTAAAATTATCCTTCAAGCAGAGAGTAGGGCAAGGGCAAAGTAAGGGATCGTACAAAAGTGCATCAAAACTGAGGCAGTGGCATCTTGACTACGAACAAATCTTCTCGATTTTTTTTTTGTAATTCTGTTTAAACATTCGAGTCGAAATCCCTTACGGACTCGTGTCACCAGTTCTGTGGCGATCCTTCAAAGAATCCTTGAACATTTTCATTCACAATGCTACCCTTTTCGACCTCCAAAATCACGCAACAAGAATGGCTGACGTCGCACAAAAGCTTAATCACTACCTGGTCTCCTGTACTGTGAGATGTTCCCAAAAGATGGCACTATAAAGGACCGTCCGGAAGAGAAGCTGAAAAAACCGTCCGACCCCACAAGATCAACAGAAGCGTTACTAAGACGTGATTCTGAAGAGAACTAGTCCCCCTGAGCCAAGATAAAGTATAAAAAGGAAGGTGCGTCCCAATGCGCTGTCACCTTGGTCAAAGTCGTCCACGAGCGTTGCCGATAGAAACTGCCTTTGGGCACTATTTACCCTTTACTACCCCACTTTGCCGAGAATGAGCTGGATTTCTATCGAATTTTTTTCAAGAGTTTACTACGTTATTTCCCGATGAATTACGAAGTTTTCATGATGAAAACTTCGTACTTCATGCTTAGGACAAGTTTTCAGCAAGAATGGTGACCCAGCTCCATTCGGCAACGGCGCCTGTAGCGCGAGCGCTAGGCATCTTTATGACGAGTGGATATTCGTGCTCTGATTCGAATTACCCCTCTAGGCATGTTTCTAGTCGGTTTCATCTTCTTGAAAAAAACTCGATTGAAATCCAGCCCATTCTTGACAAAGTGGGGTAGTAAAGGGTAAATAGTGCCTGCCTTTGTTCTATTTGAGAGACCTTACGAATCCCGAAATGCCATTGGGCCTTCTATCACTTCGTGGCACATGTTGAACATTAGTCAAACGTATAAAGATATGCGCAGTAGTCAAAGCTCAATTATTTGGAAACCACTTTCATTTTCACAATTGAGCGTATGTCCTGCTGTGACATAGAAAAACTAGTGCACTCCGTAATACAACCTTCATGATGCTCACACGGAGCTATCCTATTTCTATACACACGTATATCAACGGGAAAGGCCGAGCTTTCAACAAAGAGATGTGCACATCGTAGTTAGCAAACTTGAGTAGATTGAGAATAAAAGTAGAACGCTTTACCTCTTTCCACATCTATGGCACTGAAGATCACTCTCATTTGAAATTATCTCGTCCTTAGTTGGATAAACATCGACTGTTAGCGACATTCCTATAAAATAGTGTTTACGGTACACTGATTCTTCCCACTGAAACTGGAGGGACTGCTTAGCAAGCCCTAATCAATTCAGTTACACCGTACGTTTATAAAGGAGCTCTACTGTAAAATACCCCTCGGAATGGGAATCCACTCTAACACCGTAGCATTTGAAAGCACCCATAGTATTAGCAAATTTTATTAAATTCTCTAGTAATTCGAAGTATAAACCTATTTCACATGACATACCCTTTAAATGAAAGTAGAACCGCGGAAAATTTTAAATAAATTCTATACAATCTTTGCCTATTCATCCATCGTCAATAGGGAAATAAGTGAACAGCAGGGAACAACACAAGACCTAAAAATTATGGCATGGGGAAGTTAGAAGGCAAGAATGGCCCAAAAATAAAGCTATAGCATTTGTAGAAGAAAACAACTATTCTTTTAAAACGTTACTGAGAAGTATTATGCCACTTTCTATAAGATCGTATACGGCACCATTAGAAATTATGTACTTGTAGGAGGTATCAAAGCAAAACAACTTAACCACACAATATAGGTGAGCGGACATAAAAGAACAAAACAATCGTCAAGGGACCCCACTAAGTGAATAGAATTTGTCTGCTCCAGACTGTAGCAATACATGCACCTTTAAGTAAGCACGGACTAGAAGATTACCCTATCATGACACACGCAAAAAGTAGCCAAGAAGTAATTCCGATCTATGATGCAGTGTGGATCGTCTCCAAATTTGTTCGGATGACTGATAGCACCAAGGTCGATATGCATCTCTTTCAACTTGAAATCGTAGAACAGTGTTATCTAAACAAAAGAGCCGATTGCACGGAAGCTTTCCACGTACACTTTCAAGAGAATAGATAATAACTTGCTTACCTCGTAAATTGCCTTCCCTGGTCGTGTTCGAAGTTTTATTTGGTAGTGCGCGAAGGCTGCCTGGGTATTACCGCTTAGATCGGGTACAAAGCCATCTTTGTCCTTCACATTTTTGTACTTCAACACCCCTTCATTCGGCACGAGTCTGAGAATAGAAAGCAGGATATAGCATGTAACCTACGTAACAAAACTCAGATTTGTTACTTCTTTGCTTCAATAAGTTCCTCCAGGCTCAATTCAGCACACAAGTGGAAAACATTCTTCAGCTGCCGATTAATCGCTTCCACAGCACCCAGTGCGAGTTGCTCTGCCAGAGCTTGGTCGCTAGGCGTAATCAAAGCGTCTTGCCAATTCAAGCAAGTGCACCAATGCGGTTCAACACCAGCCTAAAAATGACCTTCGATCTTGCTTCCGCAATTCCTCTTACACTAAACAGGCTGATCCTGCCTTTCAAAATGCAAAAAGATTTTTGAGAACTCCCATCAGAGAATGGGAGATTACATTCATGAAATTGAATATGATACAAAACATTAGGCATCCAAATTGCTGAACTCCTGTGCACTATGAATGTTCGAGAACTAACATTCTAGGAATGAGAAAGTCGAAAAAAAAATGTGAATACAAAGTGAATAAAACGAACTTGGGCACAAGTTCGCGCTGCAGGGATAGGACGAAAAAGTGATAGTGATCTCGTCTTCGCGTCCTGAATCGTCGTAAGATCCTTAGGTAAGTGCAGCACGTCCATCAGAGTCGCATGAATATCAAAGGGTGTCGAAAGCCTAAGTACAACTAATACGCAATGAGATCGAAAAAAAAAGTTGTAGAAATCGACAGTCTCTTAACAAACTACGTTTAATAAGACGAATAAGATCGCCCCCTTCGAAGCCAGACGGAAAACTAGTTCATGAGAAGAAACAATCTAGTCAATCGACGCTATGCTACGCTTTTCAGTGCTTTTCAGCAGAGCCCAATCCACATAAAGCTTACCTGTCCTTGTTTCTCTGAAGGTTTCCGTACATCAACTTTCCGTGTTCAGTTTCTCTGAAGGCCTTCGGCAATGCAATGGAAAAGAACGGCAGTCGCTGAAAAATCAGGGATCCTTCAAATATCTGCACAAGTTACTTTCACTTCCACATCCGACATATGTTTGTTTACATATCAACGTCGAATGCTAAGTTAGTGCACGAAAGGGCAGAGAGAATAAGCTTCCGAATTGCTATGCCACATGGAGGCAATTTGAAAGCACATTCTTTCTGCTAACAACTAAGTTCGTTACCGCCGTTTTGTCACTTGACGTCGTCATCAAGGGTAGCTTTCATCCCATATAATGGCAATTATCAACAATAAAATAATTAAAGAAAAACATGATACAAACATTCTCAAAACCTTTGTAGTTGGTGGTAAGAGATGATAATTCGAGCAACCCATGTTGGGAGGAAGAGCGGTAAATTTTCTTACTATATAACAAATTCTAAAATAATTTTAAGAGAAGAAGGTGCTGCCAACCTCTTCAAGTTGTCCTTGATGGGTTTCCCTCAATTTAGCGAAGCGATGGCCGTGGTCAGCCATAACAATCACCATTGTGTTGTCCAGCTCGCCTAAGTCATTAAAAATAAGGTAAGGAAAAAGAACAAGATAAATTTGGAGGAAAAAAAACAGAAAAATTCAAGATATGTATTAAACGCCTCGGAAAATTTTCCATGCTTCTCATTTTCCATTTCTCTGCCACAGCTTCTCATCGATTCCCCATGTCTCTTCCTATTTCTCTACTTGCTCATAAGCCAACATCCGTGTTTTGCCATATATTTCCAGTTATAGCACTGTTCTCATTTAAACCTGTTTGCGCTAACTATCCCTGTTTTCAGCAAGTAGGCTGCGTGGCAATGTGATTGAGCGAATACCTTACCCAAAACTATTCCTGCACAAATTTAAGCAAGCGAAACAGTACAAGAGTTATGCATGAAGTAAAGGTGCAAATGACATAAGTGTAATTGCAACACTCCAGTTTGTCTTGGACAACACTCGAACAGATAAGCAGTGCATCCGAATTGACTTTTATGCATTCAAAATACCACTACGTTGTGAATAAGAAGGTCCATTTCTGAGGCACAACCCACAACTCGATTATCAATGCCGATGCGCCGACTCTGTATGGAATTAGAAGGCGAGGATACGTCGTAGGAATGGAGTTTACTAGCGCTAAAATACTTCATGCCCCAGTAGATTAGGACAGCCTCCAAAGCTTGGCTCTCCGGATAGGAAGAATTTGTGGTACGCGCAGACAGTGAGGTCATGATTGGTGTTCTGCCTTGTTTGCAACGAATTGTTTCGATTACGATTCCTCGCAAAAAACTTCGAAAAATCTGACACTGCACATGGGCATCCATATGAGATTTTCAACTCGTCTGTAGCTCTAACCATGCTGTCATTAATATCAGTTAGGCTGCTTGACAGACTCACTTCTAATTGATAGAAATAAATAGTACAAGCATACCGTTTTGGTGCATAGAGTTCAAGAGCTGAGCAACATCTGCATCCTCGACTTCAACCAGATTAATGTCGTCGTGAGATAGCAGACTTTGATGCATCATCAAAAAACGAGGCTTGTCCCTATAGACTCGCATGAACTCACGGGTATATCGAAACCATGACTGAAAGCGATTGATGCGTGAAACTTCAACAAAGAGAATGCAACCACTGCTTTTTTATAAAAAAAAAAAACTAAGCAGCAGGTGAAAAGAATGTTAATATGAAATGAAATTTAACTAGTGAGCCTTGCTTTCACGATCAGGAAAACCTTCCCAAAATAAAGGACTAAAAGACGACATACGAACAATGGTAATATTTATCTTAAAAAACGCAACAAGGGCATTAAGTGTGTGTAAGAGTGCCCGTAACTTTCACCTTCACTTCAATGTATGATAAATTTTTTCATTAAAACAACATCTAACGGGAAATAAATTACAGATGTGAACATGGTATCACCCTATAGGTGGGTTCACTGCTCTAAATCAAAGGTTAGCTTGCAGAGACATGGTCACTATCCTTCAAAAAGTGAAGGAAAACGGTCTACAGCTCCGCAGTTTGGCTTAGAAGAAGATGCACGATTTGGGAGACGGGCGTTAAGAACGATTTTGG